TCTTTCTTCAAAGGAGGTTTTCCACTCGTCTTACCTCATGGTTTAATGGTAATTTCTAGCCTCGTTGTTTTGACCTCTTCATCAAATTTCGGAATACGGTAACTATCCAAATTATCTTGAAGTCATGGTAAGATTCTGGGTGAGACAACCAGTTGCGAGGTAGGTGGCATGGTTACCCCTTTCGATGAGCCTGCCCTAGGAGCACTTGTATGACGTAGGCCAGCTAACTTGGAAACGATCTGATCGACCAAGGACTCTTGGCCTTTCGTGATTGCATCTAGGGTACTCTGGTTATTCTGATTTATCTTTTCTTCTAACTCTCTCTGGAGCTTTAACACATTCTCTTCGATCTGAGTAATTTTGGCTTCCATATTCTTTTCGGTTTGAATGAGGATGACACGTGTCCGAAGCTTATGGAGGTATATCCGGTATTTATACCATTCCATTATGAAAATCTCTTGTTAGTTCATGTGAATGCAATGAAAAAAAGAAAATTATACGAAATATGCAAGAATGCATGATGCATGAAATGTTCGAGGCATTAATCCAAAAAATGTGTCTGTTATTTTGAATAATTCTTATTGGGGACAAAAGTGTTACGTCTGAAGAGATAAAAAACTTTTTAATGGTATAGATTCTGCATCGCTTCTGACAAGTTGATTCGTCTTCCGCCTTTTTTCCCGGTTGAATATCCTGTCGAACCATTTTGGTTCCTTTGGCTAAACTTGTGCAGGTGACGAGCTGCTCGCCCCAAAAAAGGTCTCGAAAGACTGCATCTCCGGCTTTCACTCTATGTCGAGCTTATTCCAAACGAAAGTGCCATCGGAGCCCTCCATTCGAAGTTTATCGACTTGTTTCTGGAATTCGTCAATAATGGTCTCCAGCTTAGCTAGGGTTTCGCCATCTTGTTCTTGTAGTTTTTAAAAGGACTCTCCGGGTCAGTAACTTTTCCTCGTCTTACGCCTGAACCTTTGTCTGTGAGTATTTTTTTACCACGGTTGGACTTCAGAGCTTTTTATCTCTTATATTATAACCCCTTTATCCATTAATGCAGATTATTCATGTTTAATAACACATTTTTGGTGGATCAACACCTCGTTTTAAATGATGCAAATGATGAAAACAAAATGAAAGAGAACAAAAATAAAATAAAAAGAGTTAGTGAGGTAAATAAAAATAATAATTAAAATGAAAAATCCTACCCCACATGATATCTACCCCACATGCTTTAATTCCTACCCGGACATGATCTCTATTCCGCATGCTAATTTCAAACAAATACTAAACCGCATATTTATCTAGTTCGCATGCTTTGAACAAAAAGTAAAGCAGAAAATAAAATCAAAGTAGCCTATAATTTAGAATGAGGTTTTGGGGTGGGCTCTAATTCGCTGTACTCTCCCGATTTAGGTTCTAAAGAAGGTATCCGAGTTCTCCTTGCTGGTACCCCTTGGGCTTGCCAGACCCTTAGTCCTAAGCCTATTATAAGCTTGTGTGGACTAAGTTAAACTTGAGAGGATACATTCCCTTATGCCTATGCGGTGAATAAATTCACACGAAGACATAAGATATATGAATCCCGAATGCTACTTGCTAGGCCTATGCGGAGAATAAATTCTCACAAAGGCGTCGCTTTCACTCCCACTTAAAAGGGTTCAGAGCTCGGGTATAGAGCTAGAGATAGAAACTTTTCAAAAATATGAAATCATTAAAAAACGTCAGTATAACTATTTATTTGGAAAAAAATCAAAGACAAATAATCGGAATCGAACAAATAAATTTAAATTTACTATTTTCGCATAAAAGACAACCGAAAATTAATTCAGGCCTGACTCACTTACTTGTCCCCAGCGGAGTCGTCAAGTTGTCTAAACCGTCTTTCGGTTGGGCCCGAAATTGGGCTTCGACTTGGATTAAACGAATTGGAGTCACCACTGATCATTTTAAAACGATATTTAGGTAGACCGGACACCATCTTACTTGATCTACGTTGTACCAGAGACGTGTCGGGCTCGGGAGTCGGTTACGGTTAAGGAATGATTAGCACCCTTGAACCGCCCTTTCGATACCAATTAATTTATCAGTTGTCTTTATAGCGAGAAATAGAAAATTTAAATTACCCGATTCAAATTATTTACCTTTGATCGGTTGAAAATTTCTCTACAAAGTTAGAATATTAGAGGAAATAAATAAATTAAAAACTAATACATTAATCAAAAGAAAAGGGAAAAAAAAAAAAATCAATAAATCAATGGAAAAATGAAAAAAATAAAATAAAATAGTAAATTAAAAAAATAATAAACTAATATATATATATATATAATATAATAGATAAAATATTAATAAAAAATAATTAAATAATAAAGAAAAAAAAAACAAAAAAAAAAATAATAATAAAAATATGCATGAGTGACCAAATTATAAGGAAATAAAATGGAAGGTTGAATTGAAAGAATAAAATTGATTTCAGGGCCAAAAATACATGGAAAAATACGGGGGACCAAACGCATAGTTACCTCTTTTAACTATGAAAACATGCGGATCCATTGCCTTCGGGTCGGTTGTGGGTAGTATTTAAGCCAAAATCCCAAAAAATTTACTCATTTCCCTCCCCTCATAGAAACAAGCCTTCCCCTATCCTAAACGCTCTCAACTCTCCCAGATAACGGTAGAAGCCCGGTCACCACCTCGGTGGCCAACCGCCGCCCAAAGCCGCTGGAAATCGCTCCGGCCACTTCCCACGGTGATCAGTGGAACCCAAATGTTTTCCCGTCACCCCGAAGCCAAAACGAAGCCCAAATCGCCTAAAAATGCCCTAAGCGACGTAGATCTAAGCCAAAAGTCTCGACCTTTTACCTTTCCGGTGACCTTTCTGCTTCCGTTCTCGCCGTTTGGCCTTTGTGCTTCGTTTCTTTACCCGATCGTTCTCGGTTTTACTGCGTTTTTATGTTTTATGATGTGGTGTTCGTTTGGTTATTGGTTTTTTGTGTTTGGCTTTTAGTCTCTGGTTGTATTCGGTTTTGATTGCTGACTTGTGTTGTGTTTCTTTGGTTGTATGGTTTTTTGGCTCCTTGATGATGGTGGTTTTCGATTACGATGGCTCGGTATTTGGCCGTTGGTCTCTCGGTTGATGGTACTTTTTGTGTTGATGTTTATGCCTTGATCGGATCTTGGCAGTAGCTTGGTGGGGGTATTTATAGCCCCCACCGGTGGTTGTTCCGACGATCGTGGTAATATGCTCGTGGTGGTTGGTCGAGGATTTCGGGATGGTCAGTCCCGATCTCCTCGGCCAGAAATCTCGGTAGCCGGTGTGACTGACCCTTTGACTCCTGCGATGTTGTGATAGTAGGGGTTCCAAACCCTAAACATTACCTGGCTAGATCAGGCCTATCTGGTTGGGCCCACTGAACTTGGACTGGACTCTTGGACTCTAAATAGACCTAAAACGAAGGAAAATTAATAAATAAAAATAAATAAATAAAAGGAAAAATATTTTTTAAAATTATATTTATATACGATTTGAAAAAGTTTTTCAAAATCATATAATATAATATTTTCAAAAAATATTTTTAAAATTACATATTATATATTTTCTAAAGTTTTTTTAAAAACTATATATTATATAAGTTTTCAATTTTTTTTAAAAAACTATATATAAAAAATGTTTTCAAAATTTCTATTAATATAAATGTTTTCAAAATATTTCTTTAATTTTTTTTTTTAAAAAAAACTATATTATATAATTTTCAAAAATGTTGCAAAAAAACTTTATATTATATAAGTTTTCAAAATGGTTTTAAAAACTATATAATATATATATTTTCTAAAATGTTTTCAAAATTATATATATATATATATATATTATATAGTTTCCAAAAATATTTTAAAGACTATATATTATATGTTTGTTTTCAAAAACAATTTGTAAACTATATAATATACATATAGATATAGATATATATCTTAAAAAAGATATATGGACGAAAATGAGTGTCTACAGTTATTATTTAAATAATAAAACCGGTAAAAAATAATCGGAAACATTATTATTTCTACCGATTTTATTATTATTGGACTCTTTACCAGTTTTGATAACATATCCGGTAAAGCGCTACCTAAAACATTATTTTTTTGCTGGTTTTTTCTATCGAGTTTACCTATATCGGTAATTAATAATAATAACAAAACTGGTAAAAATAATAATATTTTTAATCATTTTTATCGATTTTTCTTTTTAAATAATAATAAAATCAATAACATCTTTTTTTTTTACCTATATTAAGGTTATCACAGCGTATAACTGCATATAGAGAGGACATGAATGAAATGTGAAGTATTAAACTATAAAATATCTTTTCCGCCTTTTATATTGAAAGTGGGTATTACTCCCAATAACATCAATGCCCCAACCTTTGCTTTACGAATTATCCTTTTATCCAAAGCCGTTTATCTTCTCCATGACATTTCAAGATCCAACTGTGAAGAAAAATGGTTAAGTTGCAATTTAATTAAAAAATATACTTAAAAAATAATTGTGTATCAAATATCTCATATGATAAAATACATGAAAACCATCCTTGAAATTCCCCACCTTGCAAAAGCCATCAATGAATGAGGCTACTCTATATATGTTATGAGAGAAGACTCGAAATACCTTTTGATAATTTGACCAAATATGCCACAAGCTTCGACCATTTCAACAACCCACTTATGAGAATGCTGTAACTCACCATTTTAGGTGATAAACCTTCCTCCAACATCCTCTTATAAAGCTAAACCACTCTTCCCAGACGCATCGATAACCGAGCTTAAAAACAACTACATCCAACATGATACCTCGTTCTAAATTTAAGTACACTTAGCATTTACTGTCCGCTATGCTACTCCATGATTGTCTTAAAATGAACGCTCATAAAATGCATCAACTCATATCATAGGCAAAACATTCATAAGGCGAATCAACATGATATCGAAACGGGTCACTGGTAAATGGGGGGGACATGATAAATAAGCCAAATTAATTTCATGCTTCTAACGACAAATAAGTTGACAAATCTGCATACATTTCAAAGAATGCTCCTGAAGGAGACAGAGAAATAAAGATATCACCAACGAGGAGCAAAATGTCTCCAGAACTTTCAATATAGCAAGTTCAAGCTGTAAGGTCATCATTTGGTCAGATTGACGGTTAAAATGATTGTGTCCAGCAATGGTTAATGTGCAAGTAATACGAATACTACCATATTATAAACCACTTAAGAGTTTTGGTTTCGAAAGCTAAGGACCTTTATTGTTTCCTCATCTTCATCTATTTCATCATCCTTCATACTCTCCAAAAGCCCCTCTACTTCTTTTCCATTTCTGATGTATGCCTTTAAGAGTGCATGATACATTTCTCTACTTGCAGGAACCTTGATTCTCAACAATTTTACAAAAGCTTCTGCATCTTTGACTTCTCCGTTCTCGCCTAGCCAACTCAATATGCTTGAAATTAAACTTTGTTTTGGCCTCCATCCTTGATTTTCTGCTTCTATAGCAAGAGCTTCCTTAAAGCACTCAAAAGCCTTCTCCATATTGTTCTTATTCATGTATCCAGTTGCAATAATAGACCAACAGTTTGGGATTGCAGTCTTCTTTCTTTTGATTATATCCTGCAGCTTTGCTTCGGCCTTTTCAGCTAAACCTTTCTGACAATATCCTATAAGAAGAACATTTGGCACTCGGAAATCGTAAGTCTTACAAGACGACTCCCACTCATCAAGCAACTTTTCTGCTTCTTCAGACTCGCCAAGCTTTACCAAGGAACTGAGCATTACAATGTAGTTTTGGTTGGTTTGCTTCTTACATTTGGACTTTTGAAGGTCCCACAGCCTTTTCATTTCATCTTTGTTTCCTAAATGGGCATAAGAAGAAATCAAATGGTCATAGCCTAGAGCATCTTTACTGACTTTCTTCTCGCATTCCTTGAGATAATGAAGTGCCTTTTCTTTAAGGCCTGCTTTTATGTAATAGTTTGCCACTACGGAATAAGTGCACCAATCCATTTGAATGTGCCGTTGGCTGCCCATTTCTTGTAGAACCTTCTCCATGTTGTTATAATCACCTCTTGCTCCATAAGAATTGATGCAAATTTTATAGCTGAACTTGTCAGGGGAGACACCATTCACCTTCATCTCCAACAATACATCAGGGACTTTTTCAAGTTGACCTGTGTTCGTGTAGAGGCACATAATGTCATTGTAGTTAAGCGGAGAGGAAAGAAAACCCATCTCCTTCATCTTCTTCATGATTGAAAGAGACTCATCAATAAGGCCCTCTCGAACATAGCAATTTAAAAGAGCACCATAGGTCTTCACACTTTTATACTGATCATTTAAGCTACTAAAGAAGTTCTCAGCCGCACTTAGCCCATCAACTCTACCGATTAGATCCAACTGCACAGCAGAGTCACTCGATGAAAATTTGAGGCCGTTACTACTCATCCATTTGGAAACCTGCTCTGTCAAGGATCCAACATAAGGAAACAAGAAAAAGGTAATAAACTTAAAAACTCATACATACTGTCAGAACATTTGGTAATTGTACAGAGGGTGTTCAACTTTGCTGCATTCACGTGTGAAAATGAATGGTGGTAGCAAAAACACAAAAAAAAATTTATAGAAAACTTAAGAAAAGCTTCAATAATTCGGATTTCCCAATCTCCCTTGCAGTCCACAGCAAGGCATTTGAGCCCTTAGTAAATATTCAGATAAATTCCCAACAAATAACGTTTCAACAATAAACACTTGAAAGATCTAATTTTGTACCATTATAAAACACCACCTGTCCATGAAAAAAATGGGTATCCCAAAACACCTACTTTTCCATTTATTTCCATTGCTAGCTATTCTAAACAGCTTAATCAACCAAAATTCAACATTTTTCGATACGAAGCGGAAAAGAAAAGAACAACCCAAAACTTAACGAACCATAACACAAGTTATACAACAGAGAGGGAAAAAAAAGAATCAATCATTTGCTAATATCAATGAGCTCCTTTAACTTACCTCCAAAGCATGAGTATAACGCCTGCGGGAACGTAAATCGCGGATGATACGCTGCAGCTGGAACTCTTTGATATTTTTCCCTTCTTTAACCCATTGTTGAAGAACTGGAGCTACACTGAAGTTTGGGTCTCCTACAGCATTGATTCTTGAATGAAGGTCGTTTCTGTTTGCTGGGTTTGGTGTAAAAGAATATGCTCTGGTTCTTGCCAATGTTACTATTGACTCAGCTGTTAAAGTTTTGTTTTTCTTCTTGTTCAACATAGTGAACAGAACTCTTGATGCCATTGAAAAATAAGGGATTTTCCTATCTTTTTTTATTGTTTGAGCCTTTTGAGGTTTTGGAACAATGTTGTGAAAGCTGGATTGATTTATACACTGTCCACCAAAATTTGGGTTTGGATTTTGGAGTTATGACCCAAAAGAAAATTACCCAACGTGTTTCGGGTTGAAAATAGGCGTATTTTCTTTTTCCAAGTAAAATCTCAGTTTCAAATTTTATAAATAAAAAAATATTTGAAAAATAAATTTTTAATTTATATTTTTTATATTTGATGTTTAATATATTTTTATCAAAACAAGTGTTTAATAGTTCATTCTATTTCTATCCTCCAGAAAAAAAGTTTTATCTTCTTCTTTCTAATTTAGGATTTACATTAGTTCACCTCTCATTAATTTCTTATCCAAATAAAAGATTATTTTCAAAAAATTAAGGTTGATTTCATTTTTTTAATAAATGAATTTTCGTACTGTTTGAAATTTAATTATAACCTAGCTTTTATATTTAAACCCTTAATATTAAAATTATAATTTGACTTTCAAATTTAAACTCTTAATAATGAAAAAGTCGTCATAATCTTAATGATGAAAAACTCTTGAGCACAATTTTGATATAAAATCATTTGAAAGATGTTCCAAAATATTATTATAAAAATCATAAAATGTATGTGTTTAACATATTTATCGAGAATGAAATGTTATTATTGATCTATTGACAATGCTAATTATAAATTGTGTTGCTAAGAGTATTAATTACATAAATCTTCCAGTAATAATAATAATAATAATAAACATGTTCGTTGTTGATATAATGAAAATGAAACCGTCTCAGACTGGTAAGTTGTAATTCACTTTTTTATTTTATATAAAATATATTAGTAGAAATTGTAGGGGGGAAATAAAAGAATATTCAAAACTTAAAATGGAGAAAAAGGCATAATTTTTGTAGCCCTTTTATATTTCTCTTATTTAGATTCTTATTAAGTCAAATTACAAATATATAAGACCAAAAACAAATAGAAATATTACATATTGCATGCTCCCAGTTTTAAGAGCACCGCATCTTCAAATTTGCAAAAAATAAATTAGTTAAAAGAAAACTGTAATGACGTTTTTATCATGTCATTATTTCTCTTTTTTAATCTTAAAACCACCAATTTTAATAAAATAATGGTTTCAAAGACATTAATTTGTCTTGGCGTAGTATTAGTTAAAAGAACTGTCGTTTTGAATCAAAGGTTTGCCCAAACTTCCACGTAGAAGGAACAACGTTGAGAAATGCCAATGTTTTGCCATCCACCAACATGACCTTAAACGACAGTCTTTGGTTTCTTAGATCAACGCTGCTTTGCCAATTCGCACCCCAGTTCCTATTCATCAGCAGCCATGTTCTCGTTCTCGACCCCCTTATCCACGCCGCCTTCACGTTGCCGCCGCCTCCGACGTTCGAGATCATCACCATGTTGAAATTCGATTGTCCTTTCAATGTGAACCGGACCCCGCCTCTCCTCTTGCATGGCACCCTTCAAAATCAAATAAAGCACAATTTCAAAACCGCTCTCTTTGATAAATTGGTAACGATATGGACAACGTTAATTGTACCTCCTATAAAGGACAGGGAAGATGCCTTCGTTTCCATGACGGGCGATGCGAAGGAAGGCGGGCTGTGACATGTCGAAATGGTGACTCGTTGGGTCTTTCTTTTCTTTTTACCAGACCACATTAAGACTAATGAAGTGAAAGATTATTCGGTGAAAAGGGGACAACAACCACCTCAATAAATAAAGATCAAAAGAGAGCAACCCTTCAACCATGAAAGTTTTTATAATCAAAGGCTTTCATTCAAATGATTTTAGGCAGACAATGTATATATCTAGAAACTATGGCCAAAGGTCTTTGTTTCATGTTTAATTAATCAACTGTTCAATTTGTTACATATGTGACAGAATCAACTTACCAAACCCCTCTGCTCAATAGTATATATGTGAGGAAATATATTAAACCAAAGAGGTAATGAAATGTGGATTATATTGTATAATGGAAACTTCAAAGTAGTAACATATATATATATATATATATATATATATATATATACACAGATGATATAAAACAATTATGTCATTTACTTCTATCTACATCATATTTTTTTAGAAAAAAATAAACTATTCGACAGTTCAATAATTAATAACTTGCTAAATTTATTTGTAATAATTTAATACATAATATATAATAAATTTTAACGTTATAATCGGTTAATGTATAAAGTGTAATAGAACATAAAGAGTGATATCAATAATAAAAAATATATTTTTCTAAATGATTCGAATTCAAATAATAAAGTCCACACAATAACATGACATATATTATTATAAGACCCCAAACAAAGGCTGGCTAAAAAGAATAGCAAGGTGTAATAAATTCCATACCAAAATAGTACAATATATAATTACTTGTATGCATCTTATTTATAACGGATGTTTGATACAAAATATTTATATAAATAATGATACGATTATTTATACGTTTAACAAATACCATATTTATCTATTTAAAATTATTTAGAACAATATATTCGGCTAATATATAATTTTGAAATAAATAATGTTAGTATATTTTTATTTTTGAAATTATAATAATTATAATTTAAAAATAGATGCTTATGATTTATCCAAAGTAAAAAAGCCAATATATAAATATACATAAAATTATCTCTTTCTCACACGCATAATATAACTGCATACAATTCTTTCTATGGGAAGAATTCGGATGAAGAAAAAAATGATTAACCAAATCATAGGATCTAGGCCTGCAGATTCCAAGTTCTTCGAAAATTATAGTACTATGTACATACAAATATTTCAGACAGAAACCTTACACAAGTGGGTTCCTTACAAATTTTCCAACAATAAGTTTATCTTCTTCTTCTTCGCTGCAACTGTACAAGCTAAAATCCAATACTTCTCAAAACAAGACAAGACAAAGAATGGTGCAACAGAAAAGAAACATGGATACTCTACTAAGAGATTTGTCAACCTGAATCTCTTGCCTTCTCATCCTATGATTATTGTTCCTTAGCAAAGGGTACGAAGCTTGGTTAGGATAACCAAACATACTCGTGTTGGAGCTTCCAAACATTCTAGTATATACCATTTCTCCCAACATCGTAATCATCGGATGGAAGAAGTTTGTCATCGCAATACCACCGAGGTCGGATGATGCCAAGGTTGCATATCCACTATAAGGGAGAGGGAAGTATTGCTGGTTATGAAGGAAGTTTTCATGATTTATATGCGAAGTGGTCGTAATGTTCGACGTAGGAGGTGACCTTTGGGGAATGACCATATCTGAATGGGGATTCTTGGATTGAGACTGTGAAGATGTGCCGTGGCCGTAAAGTGGAACCAATGAACCAGAAGAGATGTTCGCCTTGCAGACAGGGCAGTTCTTCGGTTGCGGGTCTGCGTCGAGGGAAGAAGTTCGGATGTGAAGCCACTTGTAAATGCATGGCCAGCAGTACAAGTGACCACAAAGGGTGACTACTGGATCTTTTGCTGAATCAAAGCAAATGCTGCAATCAAAGCAGCTGGAATCTTTTTCAAGGTCTGTTGTTGGTTCTGATATCGAATTCCATTTGTGCTTGAGTGAAGTATCTCCATCAGACTCAAAGTATGTTTCTTGCACAATCAAGTTTGGTTCCATAGCCATTCTGCAAGGTGTAAACAGTTTAGAACCGATTTTAAAACACGAAGACAGAGGATCATTTGAAATACAGAGAAACCAAGAGAAAGGAGGTTATTCTGAACTCCAGATTATCAAATAGCTAGATAATTCATCATTACCAGATCTTTTTATAATAAACTATACATATTTTCATTTTGAAAATGCATTTTTCTTCCGCTAATAGCTAGGAAAACAATGTAACAAACACCAATGTTCTAAGCTATAATTAATCAAATCGCTTTCCTCTTTATTCCCATTTCTTCTCTCTTCTTCCTCTTTCAAGAAGAAAATAATCTCCAAAATGTTGAATAAATTCAAGAATCAGGAACCCAAATTGGAAAAAAAGAAGAAACTCTCCTTTATCATTATATAGACAGATAAACATTCAACCCCCTTACCCCCCCCCCCACCAAAAAAAAAACATGATCAAAGAAATACACCCCAAAAGGAGAAAAAGGATAGAGTTGTGATATGATGGAGATAGAACTTACCGGTAAAGAGGAAGCTGAAACAGACCGAAATGAAAACTGTGTTTGAACTCTTTGATAAAAAGTTGGATTTCCAAGCTTATATTTAGGATTTTGACGAGGGTGATTTTAATGGGGAAATAAGAGAGAAGAAAGAAAGACGAATATTTATAGAGGCAAAGTAGGGAAAGGTGGCCTTTTTCTATTTTTTAGTGGGTGAAAACCAGAAACAGCTACACCATTGTTTTCTGTCGGAGTTTTCTCTTTTGGACCTTTTATCAAACAACAATCAGTCACATGTTTCCTTTATTCAGATTAATTTAAAAAATTAAGTTAAATTAGCTAACGCATTTTACCCTAAAAAGGGTTATTGATAAATGAAGACAAGTAGAGAACGATTAAAAGTTAAAATTTAAAGCAGGTGTAATCATCTTAGATATTACTTATATTTTTACGTAATTAAATTGTAGTTTCCAATCACACTCTTAATGAAACATTAGTCTTATGATAAGTTGAAATTTAAAAAGAATAATACTTTAAATTTTAGTACCATATATATGCTTTCTCTCTAAATTTATTATAATTTAAGCTTAAATATAAAATTAATTAATAAAAATATCTTTAAAACATCATAATATAATTATATAAAAATATAATTATTATTCTAATAATTACATGTAAATACAATTAAAAAAATATTTAAACAGAAAAAAGAGAGATACTCGATATCAATTAATTATTTAAGTAAGATCATAATATGGATTTTATGTGCCAAATGAAGTTATCAAATCATTATTCTTGAAAATTCTACATTTTTCTACTGCTTTTCCCACAATTAATCCAAGAAAAAAAAGAGATTATACACCTCTTACTTTGATTGCATTATTACAATAAAAAAGAAATTCAAAACAGTCATATAGAGAAATAAAATATTCGTATAATGAACATCTAGAAGAATGTGACAACCCAATAAAATAAAATAAAAACCCTATAAATTGGATAGCCATGTCAGTTGCACATGGCAAATGAGTGGAATAATAATATTGTAAGATTTGGCAAAATAAAAATATGGACGGTTTAATAGTTATAATTAAATTGGATTAGTTAATTTTTAAGAATAATTAAAGTCATATCTTAAAATTATTTCGAAAAAAATATAAAATATAAAAATCAAAGTCGAGTATTAATTCAAGTAATATTAGTGTTGTTATAGATTCTTAAAATTTAAGACTCGAATAAATATATGTATATTTTAAGGAGTGATTCAAATGATAAAAGGTGATATATTTTTATAGATAATTTGAATATGACAACATTATTTATAAAATGTACGTGAATTTATTCAAACTAAAAACAGAATAAATATCATCATAAGATAATATTTTGATCATATAAAGATATTAAAAAAAATTAAATTTAAAGATTATAAAGAGATAACGAATAATTTATCAACCATGTTCAGTAAATTGATTTCCCCCCCCCTTATTCTTATATTCTAGAAGCTAATAAGCACTGGTCATGGCGAATTGTGAACTTCCTAATTCATAAAATTAATCACACATAATAATTAATTATTTACTTTTAAAATAGAATTTTCAATTTTTTAATAATTAAAGTGATCATAATATAATATTTATTTAATTTTTTTAACTATTGACAACTCGCACACATTAAACAAACACGGTTACTTCAATCGAAGATCTCAAAAGAAAATAAAACTCTCTTCAATCATTCGATGAGTTCATATTACTTTAAATATTTTAGTTAAAAACATTACATTTATTCGTTCATCCTAGATTATGTTATTATGATGACTGAAAGTTGGCCGTGTCGCCTTGGTAGGAACATGCGGGGATAAATCAAAAGGGGACGAGTGATAATAGTAGACTTTCTGAAAAATTTTAAATTAATATAAATTTTATATATTTTCAACGGTTAATTTTGTCTATGTACCTTAAAATTTTATAAGTTTACCTTATTTTAAAACTTTAAAAAATCATCATCTAACATAAAATCATATGTCCTTAAGCACATACATGTTGGAAGGCGGAAATGATCAACAGTGGATTGTTGAACGAGACAAGAGGTATAGTTGCCTAAGCTGTTGAATCTCTATAAATTCTCAGGAATCTTTGAAATTTCATGTTTAATCTTTTCTTCTTTAGCTGCTGCTATATTCAAAGGATAAGGATTAAGAATCCAAGAAAATAAATTAGTAGTAAAAAAAACATTATCTAAAGCAGTGAGCCGTGTCACCCCCAAATATATAATCTCAATTTGACAATCGTTATTCTTTTAACTGTAATGCTACATTTTAATAAAACAACAAATTTTTGTTTACTTATCGGAATTCTTACACAAAATATATGAAGTGAGAAAATGGATTAAGCGAGTGATTGGTGGTCTTCTATGTGTGCTTGACAGTAGTAACAAAAATAAGGTTTGCTCCGCTCATCACCTGCTTTGTCATTCAACCTGGAAATCAAAACCCACAGATATACACCAAATTAGCCTCACAAAATACAAGACAAGACCATAAATAAAGTGAAATATATAAACACTTGACCATTTTCTCTTGATTGTCTTTACAGGGGAACCACCATCGATATCATCAAAATTTGAAGAAGTTGGTTTGCTTTGCTCATCAACAGTTTCGTCCGTCTCTTCCAAATCTTTTTCGTGCACCATCCGAACCCCACATTTCTTCACTTTGGAATGGATACCCCAGATTTTGAATAAAATCTCAATTTCAAAATTTTCCTTTGCCGTATCTGAGCTGGATCCAGAAATCTCAGTTTCATCTAATTCTACTATGGAAATGGAACACAAAATGTTACAAGGTAAATAATGTAGCCAAAAGTGGTCCTCTGTTAACCACGTAGGTTTCCCGTTTAAATGAAAGAAAATATTTGCAACTTCTCGGGAGCAATTTCTACCATGGATAACAACTCTATAGGAAATGTGCATTCTCCTACTATGAGGTTCAGTATTGAAGTCGGAGAAGAAAACACAGCAGAAATCAAATCCTAGAAATCGACTATCATTCAGAATATTGTGAGGCAATGGGATCTTTATTGTTGAACTCCAAGAGTGATGGCTAAACCATTGTGGGATTTCACTACCCTGCATCATAATGTCGAAACATTGTGTTCTTCCATTTGCAGATACCTGCAAACAAAACACCATTTGTTCAAACTTCAAACTACTCCCATAAATCAATGGGAGCGTTGGAACAAAAAAATTAAAAAATACCAACCTTGAGGCGTCTTTTCAGCATTGCTACTGCATTGTTATAATCTGCCAATTTGAAGCAATTAAAAGCACAAATAAATTTATTGACACTTGAACTTGCAACTACTTCCAATGAAGCACTGCCACATATAAATAATTTTATGCCTGGTGGAAGTTCAGGAAGCAATTTAAGGCTCCTGCAGTCGGTCAGTAATAGACGAGAAAGCTTCGAAAGTCGACCCAGAGTTGTAGGTAGGGTGATGAAATTGTTATCAGAAAGACAGAGAATTTCCAACGAGGATATGCTGCAAATATCATCAGGAATATCCCCATCATAAAGATTGCAGTCACTTAAGTTCAACATTTTCAAAGTACTCAAGCTTGAAGAAAGAGAAGGTAGCCTCAGAGTCATAGAATTCTGGCAATGTCTTTGCGTTGCCCCAAAGTAAAAGGCCAATGTGACCGTACTCTAGATGATGGCCCCTTGCATCCTTGTAAAGATAGAAACTTCAGACTTTTCATATGAAAAATGAAGGATGGTGGTTTTTGTATTGCAGTTTCACTTAAGTTGAGCATCTCCAAAGATTTTATCTGATGCAAATTGTCTGGCAAATTTTCAATTCTAGAGCAGCCTGATAGACTAAGAAATTTGAGGAATTCACACCCTCCTATGCTACTTGGGAGACTCTCAAGCTTACTGCAATCATTCAGAGTTAGAAACTCAAGACTCTTGAGATTTCCAATTGAAGAGGGAAGTTCTTTAATTGCAGTCCCATCTAAACGAAGCTCTTTCAAACATTCCATTTCCCCCACAATCTCTGGAACCTTTTCAATCTTTGAACAACCTGAAATAATTATTGTTTCAAGAGATTCCTTTCCGATTTCGGATGGGAAACTCCTAAGGCTTTTGCAGTTTTTTAAATTAAAAAGTTTAAGTCTCCTTAGAAACTTGATGCTTGGATGAAAATATGCAATTCCAGTACCTTCCAAAACCAAAGTTTCAAGGTTTGGGACCATACTGAAGTCTGGCACTTTCGCAAGGTTTTCTGAGCCTCTGAGGTTGACCATTTTTAACTTACGTAAAGGCTGTTGAACAAAACAAAGATATGAAATGTCACTATCTATGTTATCTTAGTCAAATTATTGAATAAAAGTAATTCTTACCAAGTTTGGCTTCCACAACTTCTCAATGCGACTATAAGGCAGAAGAAGTGCAACCAGGTTTTCTAGTTGGAAGCTTGGAGGGAAGGATTTGAAAGGATATCGATACCATTCCAAAAGCCTTAACTTGTTACTAAGATATTTGAGATCTCGAAAATTCGGGTTCGGGGCATTGACGACCTGAGCAATCGTAGCCTTTTGATCTTCGAGAACGCACCAGAGCTCAAAGCTAAACTCTTATTCTGTTCCCTGATAACCAAGCGAATTGAAATATGAATGAGCTTCACAATATACAGAGTATCAACTACATATACATAGATAGATTTGTGGATTTTTTACCCTGTATAATCGATGACTACACCTTGAACAGCTTCTGTAGCCTGATAATCAAAGTAATAATCCATAATTAACAAAGAAAAAACTAATGACTTAACTGCAAAATGCACATCTTAAAATAATTTAGGCAAAGACATACAGTGTTTTTCGTTAGCACATCATAAATATCCTCCTCCCACAATCTACTACGTTTTCCATATTCATCAGAAGATTCTTGGCGAACAATTTTTCTTCCCATCTCTTGAAGTAAGTCATGCATTGACAATTTGTTGTCTTCATTGATCGTTATCAGAGATTTCTTGATGAGAACGTCTATTCTGATATCCGGGAAAAAGCCACAACCGTCGAGAATTTTTGTTACCATGTCTTTGTTGTCTCCTTTGAAGAAGCATGCAATGTCTAAAAATATGTTCTTCTCCGATTCCTCTAAACCATCAAAGCTTATCTGAAGTCTGTCAATTATTTCCTTGTTACTCTTTTAAGTCTCTCTATAGCACTTTTCCATTGAGATGCATCCGATCTACCGGAAAGAAAAGAACCCAAAACTTTGAGTGCTAATGGAAGGCCATCGGCATATTCTACTACATGCTTGGAAAGCTCAACGAAACCCTTTGCAGATGTGTCACTTCCGAAAGCTTTTAAATTGAAGAGGAGAAGTGCTTCCATAGCATTCAATTTCTTAGGCTTATACACATCATCCACTCCGTAGATTTGCAGCAGATGCTCATCTCTTGTTGTAATGATGATTCTGCTTTCTAGACCAAACCAAACACGGTTTTCAATCAAACATCTTAAATGTTGTATGTTATCCGCATCATCAACAACAATAAGAACCTTTTTACGAGATAACATTCGACTTATGACGTCATTTCCATCATGAACGTTGAAAAAGTTGAAACTTTCTTCAGGAAAAATCTGGGAAAGAAGTTGTTTCTGCAAACAAACAAGTCCATGTTTCTCTGCAACTTCACGAACATCGGCCAGAAAGATTTTACCTTCAAAATGAGCTGAAATTTTGGTATAAACAAATCTTGCAAGAGTTGTTTTTCCTAACCCGCCCATGCCACAAATCCCGATAATGCTAACATGATCATCATCTTCATCCCCTACTTCTATTCTGCAATAAAGCTCTTCCAAACGTGATTGAATTCCAATCATGTCATTAGGAGCACTTGCAAATGTTTGACGTAATTTTGTTGATACCCTTTTAACGATGTCTCTGATAAAATTTGATTCATGCCTTCAAATCCAAAACAAAGTAAAGAAATAGCTTAGTGAAAACTATGAATATTCAAAATCAAAGACACAATCTTTAGCCAACAGATTCATTGATTTAAAACCATTTTTGATGCTTCAAATTTAAATTTAATTTGGTTACCTGTTATTCAAGTGCCATCCCTTGATGTTAGCCACTTGAGTTAAAGCAGACCGCCACCTTTGTGTCTTTTCTTGTTGTACTTGAAGTTTTCTTCATGTTTAGCAAAGGCTTCTTGAACTTTCCCCGTCTGTTTTCTCAAATCAGATGGATCCACGTCGTAGAAAATTGGGAAGACTTTATGTCCCTTCTCGTTTTTCTGTTGAATGATTTCGGAAAGTTCTTTCAGGCACCAACTCGAAAAGGCATGTCCTTCCGATAAAACGATTACAGAGCACCATGATTCTTGAGTTGCTTTGAAGAGCTCGGGTGCTATGGCTTCACCTGTCTCAAGCTGTTCATCGTCCCTGAAAGTGACTAATCCACTCCGTTTAAGTGCATCATAAAGATGATCCGTGAAGCTCCTGCATGTATCATCGCCTCTGAAACTCAAGAAAACGTCATATTTCTTCCCTCGAGAAACAGAAGAAGATGATGACAGGGAATAGGAGGAGGAGGAAGGTATCTCACTATGGAATCTAACCATTGGAATTTTTTGAGCAAATTTGAAGATGATGTTGATGAGGGTGAGACAGACTGACAATAACCAGAGGAGAAAGATATATCTCAAGAAATCGCTGAGATTAATCAATTGTTACATATTTTTCATGATTCTTTTGTCACAAAAATGCTGACTATCTAATGCAAGGATGGTTATCTTGCGTTTGCTATGATGTATTTTTCGTGTTGAAAATGTAGGGATTTTTACTCGGTTTCGTTCTGAAAGTGTATAATAGTGACCCTTGCTTATAATATTAGTTATTGAATTTAAGATGATTATCTTTTTCCTTCATCAGTAACCTCTGTTTAAGAGGGTAGACTGTGTTTTATATTAGATAGCTATACAATTGTATATAATAGGCATCAAAGTCACCATTCTTGGTCAACTTCTTTCACTATCTCATAGTCAAGTAAAAGCACTGATTTCTAACAAATTGAATGTAAATATAAGGAGAGAAAATGGATGAAGTAAATCCAGAATGGGGTGAGTAAGCACAGATTTCCTGAAAATAATTTAAGGATGTTTGATACACTTCAATTTTTGTTTATACAACAGTAAAAACACATCTAGCAAATTATAATCAAGCACAAGAGAGATGGTTTAAGTTCCAGAAAAGTTCTTTTTCTTCCATTATCATCTTGATGGTACATTGCAAAAAATAAAAAATAAGAGTGAATGACATTAATCATTTCAAGACTTGAACAAACCTGATATAACTAATGTATATGTTACATTTGACGGTATGAAAGTGTTTATTCTTCCCCAAAGGCCTCAGCAGCATGCAAAGAAAAATGGGACTACTTTAACGAACTATCCCTGAACCTTGTATTGATAGAATTAATAAATGAACCTTGACATCAGCGCAATTAGACCTCCGTTTAGAGTCAAGGTTGATTCTTGAATGATTGAAGCAGAAAACCAAAGACAGAAGGGCGCTAGAACATGGTCATTCTATCAACTCCAGGATGAACCACCATGATGACAACCAAAACCATCGGAATCATTATATTTATCCTTATGTCTAGAATTTTTCTTCCTTGAACTCTTTTCTTTCTTTGAGACTGTTTCTTCATCCCATACCTTTCTTACATCACCATTTTCTTTTACTTTCTTCTTTCGATGCCTTTCTTTGGAAGATTTCCTTTTTCTTCCAGAGGATTGAGCACTAACATCTCCAGCATTTCCATCCCTCGAGGCATCGGTTCTTCATCGTCTAACTGCCAATTGCATAAAATGTTCTGCTGCTCTGTGTGAAGTGTTTGTAAAGGTTCTCCAGCACCAGGAAGCAAGTTACTAAAAGTGACATCACCACCAGGCCCTCCTTTTCGCTCAAGCAAAATGGGATCCGGTCTGATTATAGTACCAAGAATGCTTCTATTGGGGCCCAGAGACAAGATGGTCTTTGGATTAGTCAGGGTAGAAAGAGCCATCCTGAAAGCTGACCTAATCTGCAAAACAATACATAACATTCTCACCACAAGTATTCTTATAGGAGCCAAAACATCCTCTCATCTTCCACAGAAGGCCGAAATGAAGCCAACCTCATTTAAATTTTATCCAGACAGGCAGATACTTGGTTGTTTACCACATGAATAACAAAATATTAATCGTGCATTTGGATAAAAAGGGGGAAGACAGCAGCCATGGGTGTAGGGTTTCCCACTTAAAATAAAGTGAACTAGAAAGATAAAAATTGTTAACCTGGATATAGTTGAATGAGCTCTTCCCGATGTCGTTGTCTGGAGTCTGTTTCATCATAAGAGATAAATAAATACAATCGAGACGAAAAATGAATAAAAAGTAGCAAAATTCATGGTAACCTGTGGGTCCTCAATAGAGATGAGAAACGACCGTCCTTTACTTGAAAACCTAAAGGAGAATTCAACCAAAAGGAAAACACAATTCTAGTCACCAGTACTTGAGGATGAGAAGTAATCAATTCAGCATGATGGAATTTTTTTTCCTTTTACCCTTTGCTACTCTTCAAAAAGAAAGTGTCTCTATCTTTGCAAGACACGCCAACATCCACAGTGTTCAATTTTCGACCATAAAAATCAAAGAAATGTACCTGATTACGAAAGAAAAATATTTATAAGATTGCATGTCAACTTTTCTTTGTTGTTCTCTTTCATCAAAAAAGGTTAAGACTAAAAGGTTGGGGGGGGATCTGGTTTCTTTGCCTACATACCAAGAGCATCCCCAAGTTATGTTCCAGATAAGCTTGGGATTTACACAGATTCTGAAACACAAAAAGGAATAGATAGGTTAGGCAACACAAAAAAACAGGAGCAAAAAAAGGTCTAGAATCCAAAGCCTTGACAGAATCTGAAAATTACTGCTGCTTGTCTTTTATTATTTAATTAAATTCTTAAAGCACAAAATATCATGAACATAAAATGCTGGTTGTAAATATTATAACAGTCATTGCTAATTGGAATGATTTCATAGGTGCCAGACAGAAGCAAATGGACATCTTCCGGTTGCTCATACTGAATTTAAACACGTGAGTTTTACTTACCTGCAACATGGCAATGATCATTGCAAGGAGAGCATATGAACCAATTCCGCCTGAATATACCTGTGCATAGTTTCAAAAACAATGAAAATAAAGCACGGAGGAATGACAATATTCTTTTAAAAGAAAAAGAACAGCGCTTCAATATAGACTAACTCAAACCTCATTCAGGTCTCTCTGCTGTAAAAATACTTTCAAGATCAAACACAAAGGTCGTAATTGAGGCCAATTTTGTACTGCTTCCTAAGAGAAACACATAAGCACAGTTTTAAATTTTAAAAAATACAAAGGGAAAAAATCTAGAAGAAGTCTTTAAGTTTATGAAACAAACAAAAATTAATTTAAAGAAGAGATTTAATTAACCACAAGAAAACTACAGAAGTCCTAATTTTGTGGAACATGAGGTTACATAAACTTTAATCAACCAATCCAGAAGTTGACAAAGGAAACAAAAGAAAGGAAGCAGTGATTTCCATCAGTGATTATAAATATAATGGCCAATCGAACACAATACAAGAATACAAATCTTGAGTAAAAAGTACAGTGAAAAATGAAACTTGGCTGAAGAAACCCTAAAATAAAGTCTATGGTTCAACATAATTGACCTCATCTGAGAAAAAAGGGGATTAGAGTAACAATATCTTAAGAACCACTATCTAAAGCTAACAAATGAAACATCAGAGTGCAGAGAAGTCTGTAATTGCAACAAACCTTGATAAACTCAGCAGCTTTTGGTCCATTATCCACATCAAAGCTGCAATATTGAACACCCAATTAAATATTGAACTGTGAGACAACTGTCAAACAAAACATGAAGCAGTCTTTAAATTTCCACTTCAAACCAAGATGGAGATAAACAACTTTCTTTCATGCAGTTGTCATTTGTTTTATATGTCAGACTAGGGACCTCAACATGTCTCCCCCTCATCCAATTCCAAGCACCAACGGATTTTGTCAATCAAGAGAATAATCCAGATCAAGTGAGCTTTTTACATGCTTACATTAAAAATGATAACACAGATTTCTAGTTCATGATTTATTGACAACCTCATCTTACTCAAATAATAAAAATAAAACGTCTGGTGAGCTATGTTTCCTCAGTGGTTACCACTTACTAATATCCAAATACTATGTTTCCTCAGTGGTAAGTCTCAATCAATGCAGCAAATTTGAAATTCAAATCAATCCAAAAGCAACGCAAGAGGAATTCAGAACTACCTTATATCAAAAGCAACACCACTTTTCTTTTCTACAAATTTTACTATTGGAACACGAGCTTTTGCAATCACCTGATAGGAATTGAACTGTCAGCTAAAAATACTCTATTGTATCAATAAACATTGAGAAAAATAAAATACCTGCATCTTTTTTGCAATCCCCCTTTGAGATAATGCCCTGGAAAGAGCATACAAACCAGTCTGTGCATTTTTTATACCTGACTCAAGAATTACTACCTGCATAAAATATAAACAAATGGCTCAAGAAAGTCAATTATACAAGACGGGAGAGAATACAAGTTTTTTGTCCGTTTCCCCTTGCCTATTGTTTTCTTTAGGAAAAAAATTATATACTAAATTTCATTATCTTGATGAAAACCCATCAAATATGTTCAGCGTAATATAATATGACAAGATTAAACATTAAAGTAATTTGACTTGCAATATATAAATTTTATGGGATAAAAGGAAGCATAATACTCACATCAATATCACTAGTTGGTAAATAAAGTCCTGCCCTGAATGACCCAAAAACTTCTGGCTGCAAAGGAACAATTCGTTACATTTTTGCATTGTACACTATTTATAAATCTTTACATGTGTGCGTTTTATAGCATGAGAGAAAGAGAGGCTGCCAATCATACCCTGCAGGAAGGCCATATGTATTTGATAACATCAAAAACAGAATGCACAGCAGCATCACGTGCTGCTTGCTCTTCGGGAGTGGGGGATAGAAAATCACAAAAATCCACCATCTCTGCAATGCCCACCATAGTAAAGTATTAAAATCTGCCTATGATTTACACACCATAAAGAAGGCATTCAAGAATGTTTATCACCATCCACCAACTACAAGCACCCAACATACTATGATTCAAAGGTACATCAATAGACTCCAGGCATTTTCCTACAACTTATACTTCATATGTTGACCAACAGTCTCTGAATCTTCAATAAAAAAATTCCAGGACCATAAAGACAATTATACATGAAGACCTCCATTTCTTTTCTAGACAAACATATCCACCATATTAATATGTTTCGCCATTAAATCACACAAACCAGCGTAATAAGCAGATGAGAGAATTCGAATAGAAATATCAATAACAAGCACATAATCCAAGGTATAGGTACAAAATTTATCAAAGGACGTCTCAATTTGAAAACTTCAAAATTCCAATTCCATCCAGACTCATTCATTCAAAATTTCAATGTAAGGGCAATTGAAAAATATGACAGCAATCAAGCTTGCC